CAATCGACGAATTTCAAAAGTGTGGCGACGTCAATCTAAATGATCGGATAAGACCTTAATGCCGCGATTGTGGAACGACGACATTTCTTTAATTTGCCAAAAGAGAGCTGGGGATAACAATAGTGTGACTGGTATAAGAGACCTGTATCACATTAATATACATAAGGCTCACCAGTCCAATGTAGAGGGTGTCTACGGTACTTCGTCGTAGAATGCTTCGAAAGTAAGTGGTCATAAGTTGATACGGTGAAATATTCCTGATGCGACCAGTGTGTAAACATCCAAAAGGGTTCGAGCTAAAATTGAAATAGATGAGCGCTATGTCCATTGCAGAAATAGCTAGAAGTGGAAACTGAGCTATCTGTTCGCATTCTACACCTCTCAACTCAATAGTTCTCAATCGCACATACATGGGGAGGACAAAAAACAAGACACTTTTTTCTTGAACTTCCACGGCGATATAAGTTACACTTTGTCAAATTCTGATTGGACATTTCCCCTCATCAAATCTCGGTGCCTAAGTTCAGCGAGATCGCTGATTTTGCCACCATTGTAGACCACCCCAAACTCCGCCCGAGTCCGCTAATCGAGGGGTGTCAGGTGACACGATATTCCGCCTTCTTCAGGTACTCAACGCCCTTCTATCCCAAGCAGCCTAAAGTTTTTCTGTGTGCTGGCACCGAAACCTGTAGCAGTACGAAGTTTCTAAGACGATAACGACATGAAGGCAGGATATTCTCCTCGAGCTGTTCGATGTAACAGTCAGCGTTCACTTTCAGTCCGGGGTCCACGAAGAAAATATCGGTCTTCCCATTCCAGGAACTTCCGGTCCATACCATCAACCCGCGCCTTGGCGACTGCACAGAAGACGATATCGCGACGTTGTCAGAGCTGTTCGACATTGGAGGTCTTCCAGATCAATGGTGCTGATCGCCAGGCATCTGTCCATGGGTTACTCCATATAAGAACTTGCGCAGATGTTTGAAGGTGACGTGAATTCCATAGGCCTTTGTTTGGTTTCGATCGCTAATGGCTTCATATTCTGGTGTACATGAAGGTGATGGGCGAGAGCTCGCTCCTGCTTATCGAGGAACATCTTAGGTATCTTTCGCCCTGGTACTCGTATCCTCTCTGGGCTGCGTATTCTGCGCTGATATGTGCCTTGGGCAAAGTGTATTTTTTTTGCCCCCCCCCCGTATAGCTGCATCTGACCTCACGCTTACACAAGGAAACCTTCATAGAAGTGAGGCAGCGTTCACACTTCGCGACAGCGATGGCGGCGATCGTCGGTACGCGACAAAGCGCGCCCTAACGCTATCACTTGGACCGCTACGAGTGCTTTTGGGAGAATCGACTCAATTTCATGCTTTTTTTCTTTTAATTGCAAGTTTCTGAGTTCTGTAGTTCCAGTCTGATTACCAAAGCTTGGTATAGACAGGAAGTGGACCCGACTTAAAGGCACTTTCCGCGATAAAATAAGGCTATGACCTTTCAAATGTGTCAGACGATCCGGAAGGAGATTGCGGAGGCTGCGCTACCTTTAGAAAGTGAAAATCGGCAAGAATTCCGCTTTAAGCTAACCAATTAGGCCCATTGGCGCCCCTTAGGCCCATGCCGACCCCCACCGGCTGCTAGCTACTAGCTAGTAGCCACTATGCTATCTCTCTCCATTCCGAATGGTGAGAGTGAGGTGATAAGATAAAAGAGCTGATATCTTTATGATAACGACGAGTGGAAATTCGTACAAACATGCGTTTTCTTCATTGCATGCATGTACAAGTTGGGGTCGATATGGAATCCTATTTAGGGCATTCTCGGCTGTTTTTCCGCTGCTTTTCTCCGCTAATCAGATACCAAGCCCTTCTTCGTTCCTATGTGGGTTCCGTTACCCACAATCTGTGGTCGCGGGCTTTGCCTTTAATGGCATTTGTTTTCTATTTTCCTTTCAATTCAGGATAGAAATGAGCAAAAAGCGTGAGAGCTTCATTTAGGGTAAGTTTTTATTGTTTCTTTTTTCATTCTTCGAGCTTATACATGAAGTTATAAAGTTTTCTCCTGTTGATGTTGCATAAAAGAATTAGTGTTTTGGTTTCTAGGTGAGTTTCTTTCTGTTCCTTTTTTCGTTGTTTGAACTCGACTTGTAAACTATACTGTTTTGGAGTTGGAACGGTTTAGACAATAAGAAACTTTTAAGACGCTCATATAGATTGGAATAATGAAAACAATGAACTAAAAGAAGTTCATTAACAAATGAAGTTGCCCTTATCCCGACCTTAAAGAAGGCGACCCCCCCTTTCCAGATCCTCTTATGTACAAAAAGTCGTAAGTTTATCAGTTAGTAGCCATTATTAAGAGAAAAAAGGTCTCGCAAGTTGGATTTCCTTATTTATCAAGCGAGCAGTCCATAATAGCGTTGGGGCGCGCTCTGCCACGTACCGACGATCGCGGCGATCGCCGCTGCTGTCGCGAAGTATGAACGCTACCTAACGCCGCAAGATGAACAACCCCCTTCATCGTTTTATGATTCACTGTACATGGAGAGTAGGTGAATTAAAATGCCTTCAACAACAATTTACTTACTAGTCAGTCAGGACAGTCTTGACGTCAGTCGTTCCACTGTAACTTGAACTGAATTCCTTTCGTAACCGTGATCCATCATCAAAGGCGATATCAATGAAAAAGTACTAAAAAATACGCATTAGTCAAGAAATAAATCATTCAGTTGAATGGACACTTCCCTCTACGCTCTGAGGATAACCGATAACTGAGAGCGAAGTGTCAAAAGAAGAGCAACATTCCTTTTAACTCTCCAGAGAGTTTCGGCTTCTATTGCATGGTCTGGGTTCAGTTGCTTGAGCACTGCGATAGCCAGTTTCAAAAAGAGATCCGAAGCAACGGTAACTGTTTTGGTAGTTGAGAGGGCAATCTGAGTCCAGATGTTTTGCGCTCAACTCAGTATCTTTGTGATGACCTCACTGCAAGACGTTTTGTTCGGATTTTGTTTGTCATTCTAAGAGGCCGAATAAATCTGGTTATGCTTTCCATTTTTTTTGTTCAATTATGGAAAACTGGAGTGAACATTCGAAATCAATGACGGAACTTCGGTAAAGTACTGATAGAAGTTGTGCAGTAATGCTGAGTAATGGACAAGAGACTTGACTGCGGGTTGAGGATTGTCCGGAGGATTGCCTCGGGCATCACCTGTGGCCGTACTACACCTTTGCGGTCACAATAGTTTTTTCAAAGGCGGACTATATACTCATTCATGGGACGATCCTTTCCATGTGCGAGGTAAGTGGGTGCACAGCGCAGTGGCCTGCCACCTTCTAAGCTCAAAAGTACACGGAAACCGAACTGGAGAATAGCGATACCCGGATGTCGTCTTCCTATTCCCCAAAAAGCAGCACCTGGCGTCGGTAGCGAAAGTCTGCAGCGAGCATGCAATCTGGGGTAATAAATAACCGCAACTGAGGGGAAAACAGAAATGCATTCGGCTATAAATAGGTTGGCCTTGTGGCAAGCGTTAGCGGAATCGGGAGACAGCGCCTCAATATTTTTACCCTTCAGCCCCGTTCCAGTGCACTGTTGTGCGGAGAAAGTGCACGCTACCACAGCAGCGGTCATTCATCTTGCACATGGTAAGGGCCGAGATCTAGGGAGTTGAGTGTAGTGCTATAGTACGAGTTAAATAAGAGCAAACCATGTCTGAGTATCCCATCACAATTTGAGTAACAATACAGGAGGCTCTCTCTCTTCCGAGAACCATTTCTCGCCTTCTCCAGCGGCAACTGTACTTACACTAATTCGTGCGCATATAGTTGACGTAGAGATTCCTGCTGTCGTCGTTCATCACTATACCAGTTGGCAAATCCTTCCTATGCGGACGAAAAAGAAATTCAGCGATAGTGACACAACATTTGTCTCTTGTCCTATAGGGGAACGGAGAGCAGTAGGATGACAATCGTTAGGATGTATCCAAGTATTGTACAGATAACAAATGTCTAAAACGATTTAGATTTCGATGACGTGGCCGGGCTCGATGCGATCGTACCAAGAGGTGCGAGTGAAGTGGTGGACTACATGTCCCCTGAAGGCGGCGAAGATGCCCTGTTGCTGATCTTCTATAATAACTCTGTACGAATTTAGCACTGATGACAGGTAAGGAGGATACTTTGGCAACAATCTACCATACTGCAGAATGTGAGCTACAATAACCCTTATATATCTTTCTTCAACTGATTTGTGGCTGCTCGGCCAGCAGAATTCTTTATTCGACCCAATATAAGACAGCGCTTATTCCCCCAGGCGAGTGCTGCATCAACCAACGGTAGTGGAATGAAATGTTCTGTTGGACTGAGCTGATCAGAGAATGAACCTCACACCGCGGGCGTTGAAGAAATCGTCAAATTCTACTACACCACCTCTACCACACAAACCATCTACATTGTATAATTTGCTGCGTCTGTCTGTCTGTCTTTCTGGAAATTGATACCGCTATCGTCCTGATTGACATTGCGATGCAACTCATTTTCAAGAATCGTTCTCCTCTGAATCCTCAATACAAAAAAAGAGATGATTTGCCCTAACATCATGCTCCTTTGGTAGTTTTTCTCTCGGGTTTTTTCAGTGACGAACTCAACACCATTACTATATTTCCTGCTTTAATGATAGGTCACCATTTCTTACAGGCAGGTATCAAGTACCTTGTCGTTATGTTACCAGCTGGCTCGCCGGCTGACCCTGTCCCTCTGTGACTCTGCCCTGCTTCGCCATGCGTGCCGGTGTACTCTCGACTAATATTAGGCTTCCTTCATCTGTTCGCTGATCAACGCTGCTTTCCACCATTCCATAGACGGTAACACTATTGAAAGCAGCAAGTGTGATGGTATTGGTTAAGGAGCGCTGACCAGTGTACATATAAAAAAACTGGCTATCAGCTGAGTATTGAAACATAGAAGGAGTAGCGCGGCGAGCCACCTCCTCCCCAACCCCCGCCCTAGCGGTAAAGCGGGCCGTACCACAGAATGAGACGCGCCGGCGTCAGCCGGGGAGCCGACTGGTACGTAAGCAAAGGACGCATTCAAAACCGCTTAGATTTTTAATGAATGCGTTTCGTACTGTACACTTACATTTATGGACGGCATTCCGCGAACGATCACACCAGAGAATTTCTCACGTCTCGCGTTCACAATCTGTCGACAACGACGGCTCACCATCGATAGTGTACGACGTTCAGAAAAACTCAAATAATCGGAGACAGCACTGATGATCTCACTCGGTAATTCATTCCAATTGATCATCTGAAATAATTCGAAATCGATAGGAATTCAGTTGTTAAGCGATCATCCGAAAAGGACGACAGTAGCGAACGAGATGGATAATTCGACGATACCGGTAGGAGAATAGAACAATCAGCTTCACACCTACAAGCTTCACACCATAGTGTACAAATATCTGCATTACCTACCCTTTCCCCCATCTTCGGAATTCAGGCCACTTTTTATGCAACACTTTTTCCGCGGTAGATTTGACCAATACTCTGCTTCTAGAAGTAGTGTAAGCCCCTAAACACAAATATCACCTCCACAGGAATGCTGAGTTAGGGGCAAAACCCAGACCTCAGATGGGGCTCAAACCAGCAATCCCGCTTTTGCGTTATCCATTACGCTACCGGAGCCACTCTTACCCCTCAGCTCGATGGCTCATTGTCCTAATAGCCTTACAAAACAAAACATATACCGATAACCCAGCATTCTTGTGGTAACTTCCTAAGCGCGAACTGCGGCGTTAAACAGCAGCTAATATACTAACACGCAAAACTTGAAAGGCCTTTAGCCTCGCGGTCCGCTGCCTATCGGCTAACTGGCTCATAATGATAAAAGTGTGAGTGCTGTAAGGCTATGTACAAAAAGCAATTGATCTGACACAGTAAGAGACACCC